CCAGGGTTGCCAGGCTGCATGCCGTTCATCTGCTGCTGCTGGAGCTGCTGCTGTTGAGGCTGCTGCTGCTGTTGGAGCTGCTGAGGGTTCTGTTGCAGTTGGGGTTGAGGTTGCTGTTGCTGTTGTGGCTGCTGGGGTTGCTGTTGCTGCTGTTGCGCCTGTGCTTGGGCTTGCGCGGCCTGGTTCCTCCTTTCCATCTGTCTCTGCATGAACTGCGCGAACTGCTGCCTTTGGACCCTCTCAAGTTGTGTCTGGACTTGAGGCGCAATGGGGTTTTGTGTGAGCCAGGCCCTGAGATCCTTCCATTTGCGAACCTCGGGAGGGGCGCGGAGCTGGGTACCGATCTGAGCGAGCACTGGAGGAGGGAGGTCCAAACCATCCATCATCACCTGGTGCGCTGGTGCCAGAGGCGTTCCCTGATTCCTAAGTCGGGCCAACATTTGCTGCTGCTGAGCGATGAGCTGCGGGTTGGGTGCACCCTGTGCCGGCTGTTGTTGCATCATGCCGTATTGTCCATTCGGCATGTTGAAGCCACCGGGTTGGCCGGCCCTCTGCATGGCAGGGTTCATGGCGTTCATCTGGCGGCTCCGCTGTTGTTGTTCCTGCCACTTGCCCATGACCTCATGGAGCTTGTCTTGTGGAAGTTGCTGGATGGCTGATCTTTGCTCCGCATTCATGTTGGACATCATGCTGTTGTAGATTGGGTTGTTAGCCATAGCACCAACGCCCATAGGACGTTGGTTACCCTGGTTGAACCGCGGGTCACCCAGAGTGTTGGCGAATGGACCGTTTCCACCTTGACCGTCCATGGGGTTCATGGCGCTGGGAGGTCGACGCATGGGAGTGTTCAACGTGTTCATGCCGGGGCTCTGCGATGGAGGCGCGCCGCCGAGACCGTTCGGCTGTCCTTGTAGTTGTCTGGCCTGCTGTTGCGCCCGCATTTGAGCGGCGTGTTGAGATTGCTGCTGTTCCATCTTCAACTGCTGTGCCTGTTGCATGCTCAGTTGCTGCTGGGCCTGAGGTGGCCGGGGCGTCTGGTTGGGACCAGCCTGGTTCGGCATGCCTTGGGGACCGGCGGTAGGTTGGGGCGTCGCGTTGCGAGCCGGGCCGTTGCTGGCGGGAACAACCATCTGGCCTTCTGCTTGAGCCAGGATGCCGGCCTTTTGCTGGTTCATAATGCTCTCCATCGTGTTGAACTGACCAGACTCGCCGTTGTAACCCTGCATGCCGGCAGCGTTCATCATGGCGGGGTTCATCTGCCCTCGGCCAGCCTGCATCAACGCGGCCTGGGCTGGGTTCATATTCGGGGGCATGCCCTGCTGTGCACGCTGCCTCTGCATCGCAATGTTCTTGGTCAGGCCTTGGAATGCCTGATGCTGGAACCAAATGAGAACGGGATCTTTGCCCGACGCGGAGTACTCCTGGCAACGTTGGGCGAACCGTGTCTGAACGATCTGCCGGTAATGGTTTTTCTGGGATTCGGGGCAGGAAGCCATGAGCTTTTGTGCAAGCTCGACAACCTTTTGCTGGTCGGCTGGGCTTAGGTTGGATTGGTCGCTGGGAATACCGTTCTGGGGCCGTTGCTGTGCGCCACCTGGCATCTGGAACATTTGCTGGTTGGGGCCTATGGGCTGACCACCCTGGTTGCCCATGTTGATGCCCATCTGCGCTTGTTGCTGTTGTTGTAGCTGGGAGGCCTGCATTTGGTGCTGAAGGTGCTGAAAACCTTGCTGCGGGTTCTGCCCCATACCGCGACCCATCTGGTTCTGCATAGCGTTGTTCTGATTCATCATCAGCTGTTGCTGAGCCTGGGCCGCCGCCTGGGCCTGTTGCATGTTGTTGCTCATGCTCTGCTCGGCGACCTGTCGTCGACGGAAAAATTCGTTCGTCTTATTGCTCATTTGCGCTTCGTACGAGGCCTAGACAGTGGGTTAGCCGTGCACACACACATTGCTGCGGGAGGCGGGCAATTTTTCATGTGGCTTGGTTCGACTGCTTACCTTGTCGGCCGACTTGTTGAAGGCTTCTCGCTCGAAGTTGACGCCAACCTCTGCAGCCTTCATAAAGTCTATGTTGGCGACTGCGAGTCCGATGTTGGTGATTCTAGGTAGCAGCACGTCAGCCAGGGCGCTCGGCAGAAGGGGGAACGGGCCAAGCGAGGCGCGAAAAAGCGGGACGGGGAGTGCGCAAGGCAAGGCAACGCAAGGCAACGTACAGGTTGTGGCATTTGATCATGCGCTCTTGGATCGCGACGCCAGCCTGCCAGCCCGAGTGAATCTGCTGCTGGGCCAGCATTGTCTGGTAGAGAAATTGGTTCAACTGAATTGGGGAGGGCCGGGGACGCTGTTGTTGCATCATCCCCGCCGCTCCCGCCATGTGCTGCATGTTCGCGGCCATGGCCGCTTTCCACAGGGTTTGAACAAGTCCCTGCGACGAGTCGTTCTATACCGTCGCGGTTTTCTGAGGGTGTGGATCGTGGACCTTGGAGCGGTTGTCGTGACGGGGACCGCTGTCGGGTCTGGAGAGTGGAGGGTATCAGAGAGTGAGGTTGCTCGAATAAAACCAGGCAGAGCAGAAGAGATGCTGGCTATTTTTGAACAATGAGGCGGAGAGCCGTCGACTGCCTGCAGGGTGCCTAGCGACGTGCTGCGACAACCATAAAGAGCTAGCCGATTGTTGCGTGTGACTGTAAAGCAACAGGTGGGTCCTGCGTGTTGTTGCTGCAGCGGATTTGGGGTGCTGCAAAAGGCTCTGTTCTCGAGCGACGTGAGTATTTCGGAGGTGGTGGTGTTTCGTCGGTGTCGTCGTCGTGGTGGTGGAAGACGAGGTAGAAGGCGGCCGGGTGAGGCGTGGTCTGGTGAATGCCGTCTCGTGTTTTTCTGGTTGCTGGGATTACGTGGAGGGCGATCCGAGAGCGTGTAGTTCGGACTTTGGGAGCCGGGTCTGTCGCTGTGTAAGGACCGGGCTGCGAGGGCCAGTATGTTCTCCCAACGCGAAGAGCAGGGACAGCAGAATGAAAGCGACAAGATCACAACGAGGTGTGAGTGTCGGCGGTGGATTGTTGTGGTTTTTGGGTGTGTCAGTCCAGGAGCGGCCGAAATTCCAGAGAGTGGAGGGTGGGTGTCGGCAGCCGCAGGTCGAGACAAAGCGAACCGGGGGTGCTTCGAAAGCGGGATAAGGCGAAGCGCGCCGGCGGAAGCTGTACAGAAATCTTTCGATGTCGACGGGAGGGAATCGTGGACATTCGACGAGGCGAGAGTCGAACAGACGGACACACGACGACCTCGACTCGACGGCGACGGCGTGGAGGAGGAGGAGAGGAGGAGGAGTGGTTGTGGTGGTGAAGGAGGAGGAAAGAGGCGGACTGGGAGATGAAAGCAAGTGGGTGTGAGTGCTGGGTATGGGTTTGGGTATGGTCTGGGTATGGGTATGGTATTGGTATGCACCTGGCCTGGTCTGTCTGGTCTGGGAGAGGTACCTACCTACCTTACGCAGGCAGTATGGGATGGGGGGAGTGAGTGAATGAGTGAGTGGCACTGGCGCTGTGCAGTGGGAGGAGGTGCAGCGGCAGCCAAGTTGAGGTGAGGTGAGCACAGCCAGTAGGGTGCGTAGGTGGGCAGGGTACCTGTCCAATGTACTGTGGTACACGCAGCGCAGGGCAGCACCGGGAACAGGGTACTTGTTGTACCTCAGGTATGGTACCTCTTGCACAGAGTATCCGTACCTAAGGTAGGCAAAGGCAAGGTAGGTACCTGGCGATAGAAAATGAGGTGGACGGGTACGGCAGAGGACGGGATCGTTGGGCGCGGTGGAGCCCTTGGAGATGGGCTTTGCTGGATCAGTGCCAGTTGATTTAGGTTCTGGTGGACTCAGGATTGGCGCTTTTTAAGCGTGGAGCCTATTTTTGCAAGTCGTCGACTGGGGTGGCTGAAACGAAAAAGAGCAGATGCTGTTGTCGTATTATTATTTACAGAGTACTGTAGGTAGGTTGATATTCGTGACGATGTTGATGGGAGAGTTGGGTTGGCAATGGATCACTAGACCATACCTACCTATGTATGAGGCCGGTATACGGAGACTACAGAAACACGCGCCGGTGAGCTTAAGAGGAGGCAGAAGCGGAGTTGGCCATAAGGAAAGGGAGGGGAGAGAGGGCGAGAACGGCGGAGGGTACGAAGAGAGAGGGCGTAGGTGATGAAGAGAGAGAGAGAAAGATGTGTGTGTGTGTGTGTGTGTGTGTGTGTGTGTGCGTGTGTGTGTGTGTGGATGAGATTAGGGATAGGATGGGATGGAACCAAGAAGAGGACGTGGACGTGTGAAGTGAGAGAGTGACGGGGGGACCAGCAGTAGCAGCAGAACAGAAGCAGCAGAAGCAGTAGAGACTAGAAACCAGCGACGACCAAAAGCACTGGACTGGGAGAGAAGAGAGGATGGGGCCTGCAGGGCGGCGAGATGCACGAGTGGAGAGAGCGGAGGGGGAGGGCGTGTGAGAAGAAGGGTGACTGGTGAAGTGCAGACACTCTGAAGTGTGTGGGCTGGGCGGACGGGGAGACGGGATTGGATGGGACGACCTGGGATTACCGCAAAGGGGGGTGTGGAGATAGGAACAACAAGTGGGAGGTGGGAGCCAGAGGCAGAGAGGAACAGGGCAGCGCAGGGCAGAGAGACACACACGCACCAGGACCGCCAGGAGGAGCCAGCCAGGTACCGGTGAGGCAGGCCCTGGACGACGACAACTTGCTGTGCAGTAAGGGTAGATGGAATACAGATACATGAGCATGGTAGGGAAGGTGTTGTTGTTTGATGTCAAGAGAGTATGACAAACAGAATACAGAATACAGAATACGCCACTATAAAAATAATACTCTTCGTCAAGGTGAAATCTTCAGATGAGCCTCAAAACGAAACGTCCAACATACATACCTACAACAAGTTTTCGGGGACACACACTCGCACACACAGCAAGTACACCAGCCAGGAGGGATTATCATGGGTCGAGTATGAGCCACGCATCGAGCGAGGTGTATGAGCCGCCCGTGGTCTTATGCGCCGGCAACTGGCGCATCACCCGGCGGCGGCATTCAACTCACTCAACCACATAGGCACGCATGAGTGCCCTCATCCTGTTGCTGATCTTGTCGACCTGCTCAACACAGACAAAGCCTGGATCAGGATACGACTGGACGCCTGCGATTAGATTTTTTGGGATTCGACACTAACACCAACAAAAGCTGCCAACGACACAGAGTACATACCAATGGCGACGAGAAACAGACGGGACAAGGTTGGCGGACAGGAAACGAAGGGACGTCCAAGGACCAAGGGGCCACTCACCGGCGGACAGCGGGCGGGCTGAAGTGGGCTGCCTTCCACACAGGCACCTGGCGAAAATGGGGTCCCTTTTTTGGGCGGCAGTTGGTCCTTTTTTTTTTTCTCCCCTTACCTTTTGGGGGGAGGAGAGGAACGAGGGACGAGGAGGGGATGGGGGGGTAGGGATGATGTGGTAGTAACGACAGGGGTGCGAATACAATTCATCCCCAAGTGCGAGCGATGGTTGACTTTGGATCTCTGCCTGTCTCTCTCCCATTCCCTCTACTTCGCGACAGTGTCATTCAAAAAGAGGACAAGAACAGCAAGGAAAGCAGAAGCAGAAGCAGAGAGCAACAGAGACTGGGCAGCAGAAACAGCGGTATAATGCTCTTTTCCCTCATTGCGCGCTCCAGAGCGGTGCAAAACACCAACAACCCATGCCTCTCTACCCTGTCTGCTTCACCTCACCACTAGCCACGGCCATGGTACCTTGAGTACCCCTCCGCGGCGCCCCCCTGTCCCCTCCGCGGCACCCTCTTAAGCCTAATCGGGCATGTGGCTATAGCTTGCCCACTTTCGCGTAGTTGTACGAGTGGTAGAGGTTAGGGCGTAGTTATATATCTTAGTGTTGCCCTTAGAGACGAAGTAGTGTAGTATTTCGTAGTAAAACGTATAGAATATAGAGCTATATAGAAATAAGATATCTTAACCTAAAAAACCTATTTTTATATTTATTAATATTACCTAAAATAGCTCTTTAAGATCTTAGCCTTAATAGCTTTATTAAGAAGGTCTATTAGTATTAATATAACTTTAGCTATAGTATAATAAAAAATAAATTAAAAAAGAATATCTAAAGTATTATAATATAATAAGATCTCACTTATAATTATAGGAGTAAGCTAAAAGCTCTATAAACTACTAATTATAGCTTTAAAACTTTAAAAATAAGCTATAAGTAATTAGGTTAGATTATTATAACTAGTAATAAGTATATATACTTTAAGATTAATAGTAAGTATAACTATTTACTACTTAAAGCTGAATATTATACTATTAGCTATACTTTTTAAATTTAGAGTTAGTAGGAGGTTAGTAAAGAGGTTATTAAAGAGAGGGTAAAGTCCCTTTTAAAAAGCAGTAAGTTAATAGTAAGAGATATTACTAGCTAAATTAAGGAGGAGATAAATATATTAATTTAAGAGTAAGATATATAGAACTTCTAGAGGACTTTATAGTAGGAGAAGTATAACCCCCTTTTATTAATATAGGTCTTTTTATATAAACTTAAGAGTAGCTTTAACGTTAAGTATACTAAAGTATATAGAAACTTTAAAATAAGTAAGATTAATAGTATATTTTAGATATATTTATAGTACCTTAAGATATAATAGAGAAACCTAGAACTTCTAATAATAGATAATATATATAAGGTTAGTAAAGGTTTAATATTAAATATAATAGAAAAAAGCTTACTAGAAGTAATAAGTTAATTAATTTAATATATTACTATTCTAGATTATAAGAATAACTACTATTTATATAACTTTTAATATTATATTTTATTTTATTTCTAGAGAGGATATAGTAATATTTAAGTAAGTATTAATACACCTTAAATTAATAATAAAAGTAATATTAATCGCCCTACTTAAAGTACTATTAATAGACTTTAATAAGGTATTTAAAAAGGTAGTAAAAGTAGTATTTAATATAGTACTATAGTAAATTTACTTATAGTATATATTAAAAATATAGTGTTAAATATTAAGTAGAAGTAGAATAGTATACTTAAGGAGGGATTACTTATAGAGTTAAATTTAAGGTAAGCTGCTTTATAGCTTTATTAGAATAATCTTAGCTTTAGTAAATCTAAGTCCTCTAATTTATCTAATTTAACTATAAATAAGGCTAAAAATTTTAATAGTTTTAATTTAGAGGCTGATATTACGCCTAATCACTTTAATAAGGCTAATAGGCGCCTAGTAGTTAAATTAATCTCTCTAAAAGCCCTGCTTAATAATAACTCTACTTTAATAACTTATATTAATATTATGCTACTACTATGTTTTTTATCCTCTATAACTAATAATAACTTTAAATATTCTACTAATAGCTTTTTATACGCTTAAAAGGCATATTATTATATATTAACTAAGGCTAAGTTTAATAAAAAATAAGTAAAACTCTATAAGATATTTAAAAACTAGCTATACCTTTTTAACTACTTCAAAAAGACTTATATTCCTTTCTACTTATAGTTCTATAAGTATACTATTAAAAATCTCTAAAATTATAGTATTAAAGTCACCTCTTATATAAAGTTAGCTTACGCTAAACTTAAGAGTTACCTCTATAACTACTTCTCTAACTTCTATAACCTCTACACTACTATTATTAATATAGTAAAGAGGAAGGAGATATATTACTATAACTATATTAGTAACAAAAAGTTATACTTTAATACTACTTACTTTAATAAGAATATAACTAAGTTGCTTATTTTTTAGGTTAATTTAAAAGTACTTAATATAATCTAAAGTTAATATAAAGCTATAGAAGCTATTTTTTTAGATAAATTATATACTAAGAAGTTAATAAAGTATACTAGTAACTTCTAATAGTAATAAGGCTTACCTTACTACTATAACCTTCTTAATTAGCTTAAATTAAGAGATCTATTATGTTACCTATTATATAATAATTATAATAGCTACTAATAACTTAATTAAACCTTAGTTTATTTATATCTACTACCTTAGTTAAAATAATAACTAATATATATTTTTAGCTTAAGATTATTACTCTCTATAAAGTAATATATAAGCTTAACCTTAATATAATATTAACTTATTATAACTACTAATAAACTACCCTAATTATTAATAATAATAATACCTTCTATATAGTATTAATATAGACTTTTTAGGGCTTAAACTTAGTAGTAGTTAACCTTTATAATATATTAATATAGTATAAACTCTCTATTTAAGAGTATAATATAGCATTTACTCTAATGCTATTAACTATATTAATAATATTAACTATATAGTTGTAGAAGAAGTAAAAAATAGTAGTAAAGAGGGCTAATAAAGCTCTTATAGCTTAACTATAAGCTTTAATTAAAGCTACTATTAATATATTAATATAGTAATATTTTGTTTTATAATAGCTACTACCCCTATTAGTTTTTTACTACTTATTATTATCTCTATTACTTTAGCTTTTGCCTTAGTAAAACTATAGCTAAATACTACTTTAGCCTTAGTTTAAGTTAAACTAGCTAAGCTAGTAGTATTTATTACCTCTATAGCTTTTAAATTAATAATAGTATTATAAGGAGGTATTATACTTATTACTAAGGTTATTACTACTATAGAGGCTATAGGGAGGGTTTTTTAAGCACTTTAAGCACTTTAGTAGTTAAATAACTAATACATTATTTATTATATAACTTATTTTATATAGTGATACTTTTAGTATAGCTACTGCAGGAGATTCACTTATAGCTGTGGCTGCTACAAACTGCCCGATTAGGCTTAAGAGGGTGCTGCGGAGGGGACAGGGGGGCGCCGCGGAGGGGTACTCTGGTACCTTGCTCGAGACCCTGCTCCTCACAAGCCTGTCCCTGGATGCAGCACTCTGGCGGCAGTTGCCTTGTACCAGCCTATCGTTGCAGCGGTGAGCGAAGCGGTCAACACCCGCCCACGCTGTTGCTCTGCCTTGCTAACACGATACAAAAATGCACCCAAGCCATGTGCGCCTCGAGGTCAGGCACTCCAGGTCAGCGACTGACACCTCCCAATGTTCACCACTCGCTCGTACAACGCCCACCGAACATTATTCGTACCTTACACGCAGCGAGAGGGAGAGAGGGAGAGAGGAAAAGACGTGGGATGGCGGTGGGTGGTGCGAGCACCGTTGCTCCAGACCGACCTTGTCAACCAACCCACGGGAGAGACAGACCAAAAGACTCAACGCCGGGATCAGGGTCAGAGCCCATGGCTACGGCCGGGCTCGCTGTCCGAGGCCAGTCAGGTACCTATATACCTCCTCTGAAGCCATTCCGAAATGTTTACTTTACATCTTGTCGTTGCTGCTGGTGCTGGTGCTGGTGCTGGTGCTCGACTCAACACGAGAAGGATGGAGGCGGCTGATATGGACGTCGCCTCCAGCGTGCGCATTGCGATGCGCCGATCAATATGACCTTCACCAAGAGATCGTGGAGGAGCAGCCCCATGGCCATCTCCAGAAAACCCCGGCCACGAGTCTCACTTGACAGCGATTTACATCACCCGGTGAGCAGGGCAGAGTCGGCAACGACCGGTAGTGTGCTGCTGCTGGCTGGCGGTGCGGTACAGACACGCCACGGCTCCTTCACACAACCTTACCAAAAACCAGGGACCGACGGGAGTGGACGAGGAACAAGGTCCCGGGCAATCCGTCCGCTGAGGAATGGAATGCCACAAATGCCCTCTTTCTGACTGACATTCGATGCGCTCTATGCCTATCCTCCGTCCGACAACCAACGGGCCAACGGCCCAGCCAGGCCAGGCCTCCGTCCGCCGTCCGTCCACTCATTGGGCCGTTCTGTCTCTCCCGTCCAGCCATGGCAAGACATTGGCCCATAGTCCAGTCACCTCGACTAGCTCTCTCTCGCTCTCTGCCTGCCCGTCTGCTTTTGGAGGGGTCTTGGCATTGTTCTCGGTCTTGGATGTCTCTTCTTTTCTTATTCCACTTCTGCCTCGCAGGAGAGTGTGGGAGAGAGAGAGAGCAGACGGGACGGGCAAGCGTTCGTTCCTCTTCCTTTCTTCTGCCCTTCGTCTTCCTCCCCCCGTCGCGGCTCCACGACTTTTTATTAGTCGCTTCCTTTTTAACCCTCACCAATCGCCACATCTTTGCGCGACCCAGCAACACGGTCCTCAAGTCCGAGTCCTTCCCGCTCACACATTCACGTTTCGCCTGCGGCGTGCCTTGTATTCTTTCTTTCTTCCCCGCCGTCCCCAGCAGGAAAGCAAATTGGCTGCAAAACCATGGCGGGCAGACGTGGATCATCAGGGCCCTTGCATTGGAGATTTGAATCTTGCCAAACGGGTGAAGAGAGATCCTCCCATGGCGTCTGCAACAGGGAAGAAGCCGAGTGCAAAAAACGGGGCCGCGGCGCGTAACGTCTGCTTGGAGCCAGGAAGAGCACGCG